CCGGACCCGAAACATTAACTCTGTTTTTCTCCTTCACAGATGCTACCAGACCTACTGAGCTTTCCCAGCAATTTTGTTTCTGTTCCTGATTTACAGCATCCGCAGTTCTTTCAATTTTTACTCCTGATTATCGGTGAGGCTGTGGCAGCAGCTGGTTGTGGGGTGAGTGTGGGCTCAGCATGAAACTCAGTTTCACTGAGGTGGGCCCAGTGCCAAAGAGATGGTGCCTGAAGTGTGGTGAATTCTACAGCAGTGAGACTGTGGAGAAGGGGTGGTGGCACAGTTGGCATATCGCTGGTGAGCTGCCTCAGGACTCACGGTGGAGGCGGCAGAATGAAGACAGACTCTCTTTTAGTAATATCTTTTTATTCTTAAATTATTCAAAATGGTGCTCAATTGTGATAACAGTTGAAGTTTTTCACTGTATTTTACTATATTATTCACTGTAAAATGCAAATGACAAATCATTCAAATTCAGAATAGGAAAATTGTACAGGTGAGTGCATGGCCCAAGAGTTAATGCAAGAGGAAGGGGTTTAGATTCCTGGATCACTGGGAACATTTTTAGGGAATGTGGGACATACACAAATTGGACAGCCTGCACTTGAATCACATTGGGACCAACATCCTTGTAGGTAAGTTTGCTGGTGCTATTGGGAGGAGTTTAAACTCGTCTGGCAGGGGAAGGGGACACTGAATATCGCTGAGGCAGAAACACATCATAGTACAGCAAAGGAAACAAGTCACAGTGAGCTAGCTATGTTGAGTGTCAAGTGAGTAAGGCAAGTGGATGGTTTTTACTTCAATGCTAGGGGTGTAATATGTAAGACTGATGAGTTAATGTCGTAGATTGATACAATGGAAGTATAATATTGTTGCCATCACAGAAACAAGGTTGAGGGAAGGGCTGGACTGGCCACTTAACATTCTGCAGTATTGGACCTTTAGGCAAGACAGAGGAGGGTGTCAAAAGGGTGGTGGTATAGCCCTATTAATTAAGGAGTCGATCACTGCAATAAGGAGAGATGATATTTTGGAAAGATCATCAAACAAGGCTTTGTGAGTAGAACTTAGAAAAGTTAAGGGGAGAGTTAAGTGTAGGCCCTCAGAGAGTCAGTGGGAAATAGAGGAGCAAATATGTAGACAGTTCACAGAAGTAGTAATAATCAGGTAATTATACCACGGGACTTCAAATTTGTTCTTTTGGGCTTAAAAACAGACAAATCCCCTCGCCTGGATGAGTTGTATCCCAGGCTGCTGTGAGAAGTGAGGCCGGAAATTAAGGGGCTCTGCGACAAATTTTTAATTCCCCTTTGGCCATGGGAGAAGTGCCAGAGGACCAGAGCACGGCTAATGTGGTTCCACTTTTCAAGAAGTGTGGTAGAGATGAAGCAGGAAATTACAGACCAGTATGTCTCACACCAGTAATAGGGAAACTATTAGAGAAAATTCTGAAGGAGTGAATTAATACCCACTTGGAAAGGCAAAGGTTAATTAGGGACTTGGTCAGAGGGAGGTCAGGCCTAACAAACTTGTTAGAATTTTTTTTGAAAATGTGATTAAGTGTGTGGATGAGGGAAGTTCAGTTAATGTAGTTTATATGGATTTTAGCAAAGCTTTTGACAAGGTCCAACATGGGACACTGATTGTGAAGGTTAAAGCACATGGATTTGAAACCTGACAAGATTTTAATTTGTCATTACATAAAACAATTTGGATGAGAATTTAGAAGACATGCTTAGCAAGCTTGCAAATGATACAAAATTGGTGGTACAGTGGACAGTGAAGAAGGTTATCTAAGATTACGAAGAGATCTTGATCAAAAGGGTCAATGAGCTGAGGAATGTCAGCTGGAGTTTCTTGGATTGTATTTTGGTAAAACAAACAAGGGCAGACTTATACAATTAATTGTAGGGCCCTGGGTAATGTTGTAGAACAGAGAGACCTAGGGATTCAGGTATACAAATCTTTGAAATTTGCATCACATGTGGACAGGGTGGTTAAGAAGGCATTTAGCATGCTTGTCTTCATTGCCCAGACCTTCGAGTATAGGAGTTGGGGTGTCATGTTGAGGTTGTACAGGATATTGGTGTGCCCTGTTTTGGAGTATAGTGTACAGTTCTGGTTTCCCTGCTATCCTAAGGATATTATTAAATTGGAGAGGGTTCAGAAAATATTTACTACGATGTTGCCAGGAATGGAAAGTTTGAGTTGTAAAGATAGGCTGGGACAACTTTTCACTGGAGCGGAGGAGTTTGAAGGGTGACTATATGGAGGTTTATAATATGATTAGATAAGGTGAATAGCAACAGTTGTTTCCCTAGGGTTGGTGAGTTCAAAACTAGAGGGTCTATTTTTAAGATGAGAGGAGAAAGATTTAAAAAGGGCACGAGGGGCAACTTTTTCTTTACACAGAAAGTGGTTTGTATGTGGAATGAACTGCCCAGGAAGTGGTGGATGCTGGTCCAGTTACAACAATTAAAAGACATTTGGATAAGTACATGAATTGAAAACATTTGGAGAGATATGGGCCAAACGCAGGAAAATGGACTAGTTCGGTTTTGGAACATGGTCGGCGTGGACTAATTGGACTGAAGGGTCTGTTTCTGTGCTGTATGACTCTATGACTCTGTGAGATGGATCAGAAATTGTCTTAGTATTAGGACATGAAGGGTAGTGGTAGAAGGCTGTTTGAGTGACTCGAGGTTGGTGTCCAACAGTGTACCATAAGGATCAGTACTAGGATCCTTATTGTTTGTTATATACATAAATGATATGGATGAAAATGTAGGGGGAATGTTAAGCAATTTTTCAGACAACACCAAGATTGGTAGAGCAGTTAATAGTGAAGAAGATGATTATAGGTTACAGGAAGATGTAGATGGGTTGCTCAGATAGACAGACAGTGGCAGATGGTGTTTAACCATGAAAAGTGTGAGGTGATGCGCTTTGAAAGAAGAAACAAGATGAGGGAGTACTTCATGAATGGTAGGTCACTGGATAGCCTAGAGGAACAGAGGGATCTTGGGGTAATTATTCACAGATCTCTGAAGTTGGCAGAACACGTGAATAGGATAGTTAGGAAGGCAT